GTTCTCTTTTGACTCTTTTGGAGAAGTCTTTGGAAGCACATAAAAATTTAATTTTTAGAAGGTCCCAATCATCTGGTTTCTCTTCTGCTGTTGGTGCATTTTGAATTATGCTTGATAGTCTATTTATGCCATATATTAGGGCCCTTAAATTTGACCCTAAATTTTCCTTGAGGAACTGTATAGTTTTAAGTTTCACACACATAGTTTTAGGATCAAGTCTTTGATCCATCTGGAGTTCGTTTTTGTGGATGGTGTGAGATATAGATCTTGTTTCATTTTTCTGCAAATGGATCTCCAGTTTTGGGATACTTTTTCTTGTTTAATAAATAAAGCTACATAAGGAAAATTGGTGAAAATGGTGAAGAACTTCACAGTTGGCAGTGAGTTTCCATGTATTATGTGCCATTCAACTTTGGTCAGTTTCTTAGGACTAATTTTTATTGGTCATTTCTAGGAAAGAAATTTGAGTTGACTGACTAATTATCCACCTTTAGAGTTTTAAAAACTGAGATGTTCAGAAGTTAAGCATCATTTCTAGTGTCTCATAAATTATCTTCTCTGTGTTTGATGAGGTAAAAGGTGTTTAACCAAGAATCACTCCAGGAAAAGGGAGTCATTTAAGATACTTATCATAGCAGAGCTCTCAAAGGAAGAAATTCTAATTATTCTAGATTAACTCTTGTGCTTCTATCTTCTTCACTTTTTAGTCAAGGACTTGGATTGGATGTTAATAACTTTATATCATCTAGTTTGGGATTTGCCAATATTTGATTTCCAAAAAAGAAAAAAAACTGTATTTTAAATTTATACAAATTCTTAACACTTTTTTTGTTTAACTATATTGGATATTAGGAATGCAATTATGGGGAAAAGCATACACAAGTCCTCTTTTGTAGTTTATAGACTAGAGGGAAAATAAACATTAATAAATCGATCAGGAATGTAACTATAATTTAAAACTGTGACACATGCCATGAGGGAGAGTCCCATAGTTCTACAGAAAGTGTGTTTAAGAAACAAAAGGAAGAAACCCACTGCTGTTGAGTTGATTCCATCTCGTAGTGACTCTGTAGGACAGAGTAGAACTGCCCCTGTAGGGTTCCAAGGCTGTAAAACTTTACGAAAGCAGACTGCCTCATCCCTCTCTGGCGGAGCAGTTGGTGGTTTCTAACCACCAACCTTTTGGTTAGCAGCCAAATGCCTTAACCACTGTGCCACCAGAGCTCCTTAAAGGAAGCATGGAGACCTAAAATGGTGAGAATTGATACTGACTAAAGAGGGAAACAAGGAGCTCTGGTTGCATAATGCCTAAGGCATTTGACTGCTAACCAGAAGGCTGGCAGTTCAAACCCACCAGCCACTCCTCGGAAGAAAGGTTGGACAATCTACTTTCATAGTTATATTGCTTCGGAAACCCAAGGAGGGGTCGCTATGAGTCAGGTCCAACTCTACGGCACATAACAACAACATCAACAAAGAGGTAAACAAAGGCCAACAGCCATATCAGGTTAGTTTCTGTTTTATTCTAAAAGCAATGGAAAACCCCTGAAGGTTTTTTACTAAAGAGTGACATCACCAAGACTCTAGTTTTGAAAAGAATCACTCAGGGTGCAGCACCAAGGATAGTTTGGAGAAGGACAGTGGTAAGAAGAGCAGTTGGGAAGCTTCTGCAGTAATCCAGGCAAGAGATTGTAGCTTGGGCTACGATGGTGGTAGCAGAGACAGTGGGGCGGTGGTATTTGAGAAAAGAGGTATCTAATTGGTGGAGTTATAGGTGTGATGGAGTGGGAGGGTGAGGATAACTCCTAGATTTCTAGCTTATATAAATGCGTGGCTAACTGTGCCATTCAAAGTCAGGTGAGGGGGTGGGGGAAAGGGGAAGGAAGTCATGAATTCCATTTTCAAATGTTGAACTGGAAATGCCTTTGAGACAAAAAATAATTTTATATTCAAAATTCATTTGGAATATAGTAGTACCTCCTTAAATCAGTCATAGTTGCATTAAACCTGATCACATTTTGCAAATTAATAAGTAAATATACAGTTTAAAATTAAGGATGCTGTACTTCATCTTGCTTTACTTTAATTATTAATGATACCATTTCAGAATATGTTAGTAAATATGTTGTATTTTTAAAAACAATGAGGTTGTGGTAATGGGAGGCCACACTCCCATAGTCAGGCTAGTAAAAGTTGAGTGAGACAAACATTGTGTGTGTGTGTTGAGGGTGTGTGTGTGTGTGTGTGTGTGTGTGTTTCTGGAGAGATTTATTGAGCTAACTGAACCAACTAGGCTCATTGGTACTTTTGAATGGTTCATTAGTGTGACTATCTGAACACAGGGTGAATTTGAATTAAATGATAAGACTTTCTAATAATTAGTATGTGCCTCTCTTTGGAATTTGTAATTAGAAGAAAGAGGCAAAAAGAAAAGAAATAGATAAAGAGGGAGTTGTTATAAAATTAAATTCGTTTAAGCACAATTCAGTGTTTTTGTGAAGCATACAAGGTAAAGGGAACCAAAAGAATGCATTTCCTCTTAGTTGGTAACTCAACTTCAGGGTAGCTCAGGGTTTCTGGCTTTCATCCGAAGATCAGCGGGAAACATCTGAAGGGCTTTGAACTAAAGAATGTCATCATCAGGACTGAGTTTTGAAAAGAATCTCCTTGGTGCTATAGACTCTGGGGCCAAACAGTCCTTTGCTGTGAGAGCTGTCCTGTGCGTTGTAGGTTTAGTAGCATCCCTTGCCTCTACCCACTAGATGCCAGTAACAACCTTCTGCCCAGTTTTGACAACAAGAAATGTCTTCAAAAACCAAAAACTATCCCCTGAGAAGAAAACAAATCTTGAAATTTCACCAAAGTTCACTTTATCCTTTGCATAAAGTCTCTCCTGACTCCTCTGGAAGCTTGCCTGATCCATTATAGTCTGTTTCTCTTATCTCTCTCTCTCTCCCCTGACTGTATCTGGTCTTAACAACATGTTTAAATTTCAGTGAACTTTAAAGCCAGTTGCCACCGAGTTAATTCCAACTCATGGCAACCCTGTGTGTGTCAGAGTAGAACTGTGCTCCACAGGGTTTTCGGTGACTGATTTTCAGGAAGTAGATCACCAGGTCTTTCTTCTGAGGTGTCTCTGGGTGGAGTCAAATCTTCAATCTTTCAGTTAGCAGCCGAGCACATTAACTGTTTGTATCACCCAGGGACTCCTCGCTGAAATTTATGGGGTGGAGAAGCTTTCCTTCAGCCCTGCCTTACCTACCATATAGGCACCATTCCCTTTCTCATCCCATAGCAAAGAAACCCCGCCATGCCACAGACATGTCTCTGTCATGAGTAGCAATCAACCTCTCATTGCCAAATCTAACAGCCTTTTCTCCCTTTGTTTCTCCTTCTGCCTCTTTCATTGGCCCTGCTTTGCCAGTTTTTCCTCCCACTAGGCTCGTTGTTTCTTTTCTGGCTCTTCCTTATTGATTTATTGACCAAATGTCTGATTCCAACTATTTAATGAATTTAAATACCTGATGTTGTTTGATTCTTCAATATTCCCTTCCCACTTAGAATGAAGAAAAGTATTTGTAAATGATTTGAACTAAACAATTCATTTCCACCCCCAGAATTTTTGTAGACAAAATCTGCCACTGTAAAGTGGGCAGTCAGTCTGGCTCCTTTGTAGCTGGGAATACTATTTTTCATTGAGCAAAAGATATTGTTCTGAAATCCCGTCTACAACACACATCTTGTTTTTGTTCCTGCCAGATGCAAATTCATGTGTGCCAGCATTGACTAACCTGAAGGCTGCTGCTCTTTGTTTTGGAGCAAGTGAAAGAAAAAGAGGTTATTCCTGCCCAAGAAAATGTCATAGAATTTTCGAGGGTAATCCTCAGAGTGTCTTTGGGAATTAATTTTGTTTTAAAAAATGTAAAACTGAATACTTGGTGTTTTTTTTATAGTGTCTTTTGGTGAAAATCCCCCAAAATCCAAACCATCATAAGAACTGGACAGCTGCTCAAAATTTCTGTGTTGAAGAAGGTGGAACACTGGTCTCCATTGAAAGTGAAGTGGAACAAGGTAGAATACTCAAGTGTTCAACCAGGCCAGAGTAACCATTTCTATTCAAGCATTCAAAAATATATATTCCAAAAATTACTAACATTTCCAAATCAACATTTAAAGAATTATATTGCTGAGGCACAGAAGTTTTCCATTTGACTTAGATGGTTTTTTTTTTTTTTTAATATCATGACATTTACAAAAGTTAGTATACTGCATTGCTAATAAACTACTGGCTTTTGGAGTCTTTTGTCTCATCACTAATAATGGAAAAAGTAGAGACATATTTATGATCTCCATTTCTGAGTGATTAAAATAATCTAAGGTATAATCTATTATAATTGTATGATGTGATTTTTCAGATACTTTGAGATTTATCTGTACACTTTCATCTATATTCAGCCAGCAGTATATTCTAACTTAAATACATCTACTCCTTATTTATCAACAAGATTAGTTTCCAAAGACCAGCTCACTATGTGAAAATCAGTGTTATGTGAAAATGGAGGCTGACCACATCAGATCACAAAATGGAGGCTGACTACATCTTTACCTAACTGTCAAATTACATCATTATATACCTGCCAACCCACAGAGGAGCATAGTCCAAATAAGTTGACACATAACCTTATCCATCACAGCCAGAGTTACTCTCATCTAGTACCTAGGCATTCGTTACTGCCAGACATATGTCAATAATGTGAAAAATAATTGAATAGCAGACTTTTTACTGTTGCTGTAAATGTGAAATGTCAGATAACGAGATACTCAATAAGTGAGGAGTAGGTATATAATGGATAAATCTTTTCATTAGAAAAGCAATGAATGAACACTGGAAATTGTTTTGTAAATGATATAATGAAGTCCCAGGCTTAGCCAGCTAATTTCTGTCAATTTAAATGAAATGAAAGTGAAAGAGACTGTGTTACCTTAACAAGAACAAAATAACAGATCCTCTACAATTGATTTGTAATTACATTTTCCTGTCATTTAAATGTAATCATAGTTACAAACAGAGTTCAATAATTATACAAATGGTTTATATGAGATTGAATTTGGTAATGTGTTCCTATTTTTCAGCTTTCATTACTATGAATCTTCTTGGCAAGACCACTAATGTGTGGATAGGATTACAGAATGATGATTATGAAAAATGGCTAAATGGAAAGCCTGTAGTATATTCTAACTGGTCTCCATATGATATAATAAATGTAAGTTTTAAAATTTCTTTTCTGTAGAAATTATTTTAGCATGAGACCCTTTTCAAAATGTGTTTACGAAAGCTTTGTACACATACATTTATATGTCTGTTAATGTATTAATTTTTAATAATACAATTTCATATAATTTTCATGTTCCATAAATGTAATTACTTAACTCATCACATTAATTATTTATTTTGCAGGTTACGAAATGAGTTGTGATCAGGCTTATTAAATGAAAATAAATGAATAGTAATTGTGTATAATCAGAAAATTATGGCCTGAGTAAAAATTTCAAAGATCTATTTTTTGTTAACTTTGTATATTCTTTTAAAGATTCCACATCATAACACCACAAAAGTTCAAAAATACATTCCGCTCTGTGCCTTGCTGTCAAGTAATCCAAATTATCATTTCACTGGTAAATGGTATTTTGAAGACTGTGGAAAGCAAGATTACGGGTTTGTTTGTGAAAAAATGCAAGGTAAGAAATATTTATTTTTATTACTTTCGTTTCCATGGCTCATTTGTCTCTTCCATATTTGTTTTACACAGCTGTACAGCAAACAACTTCCTAGCTAAGAAAGCCAGGCACTTATTCTTATCTCTCTGTATATTTCGTTATTTAATCCACCGCTGTCCCATGATTATGCCTGTAGTGGGTTCTTGGAACTGTAGAGGTCACTGAGGTGGTGATCTAGGTTATACCTCCATTTTAGTCAGACTAAAAGAGATTATGACTTTGTTCTGAGATTATATGTCTGTTCATGCAATTTTAAAAAAAGCATTAAAAAATGTTGTAAAATGTTGGGGAAATAAACCAATTCATGTTCACATCTTTCTTGGAACCTTAAAAATGGTTTCTTTGGGTAAATATGGCATGTATGTGTTTCCAGATCTGATGGCCAAAACCATAAGGGCTTTTGGTGTGAACTACCAAAGCCATACTATTATAGATAGTGTGACCTTTAGTGATAAAAATAAAATCAGTAACAACAAAAACAATATCTAACATCTATTGTACTTTTACTGGGGGTATACTCCTTATACCATGCCATCCTGGAAGGTTTGTGGCTGGAGCTGTAGAACTTTGAGCAGCCAAACATATATATGATTATTTGAAATATGAATTAAATTTCTTAATGTTATATGCATGTGAACTCTTTAATGATATCCAGTATCAAGTCATACTTAGAAAAGCTGTTCTAGGGAAGCTCAGTTTCAAGGTTCGAACTACCAGCCTTTTGGTTAGCAGACAAGCACTTAACCGATGATCACAGCTTTCATGAAAACACAAGCACTAATGATCATGTGTGTGAAAACCTTGCCTTTTTAACTTGTAAACTTTGATTCTGACAGGTGATACGTTAATGGTTACTGTTTATAAGAATTGTGTTTATTTCTGAATATTTAGTTACTCAATTTTTTGAAAATTCTTAGAATATATACATGTAAACATTAAACAGGATATGTAATTATAATACTACCTCAAAAGTTTAATCAAATACTGTATCTGAGAACATCCACTTATGAAATTGTTTCCAATGCTATATGTAACTATATAACACATGTGAGTATTTTATTAGTAAATATTAAGGTCTGCAAAGCCAGCCTGTAGTAGGCTGAGTGCACCTAGTGGAGTAAAACTTGCCTGAGAATATCGTCATCAGTTCCATCAAAAAGTGGTCACTTTGACAACAGATCTTCGGAAGTGGGGAATCTTCCATAAATGCTTCCATGTATGTTTCTAGTTTTGAAGAACCAGTCATTAAATCTCCTAGGTGTTGTAATTCATGAGCATCATGTACAATTTCAGGTAGAGTTCTCACTTTGAAATAGTCAATTCTGGAGAGAAAAATTCTCTGATGTTAACCACCAGGTACTGTTGAGTTGATTCCACCTCCTGATGACCCCATGTGTATCAGCACAGAGCGTGGTGACAAGGGTTCATGCTAAGCTTGGCCTTCCCCTTTTTCATCCAGACTTTACAAATGATTTTTGTGCTTCTTCTTCTTCTAGATACTTCTGGGCATGATATAAATATGTCTGATGTGTATCCAATCCCCAGTACCTTAGACTATGGAAACAGGACTTACAAAATAATTAATGCAAATATGACTTGGTATACAGCAATGAAAACCTGCCTGATGCATGGAGCCGAACTGGTTAGCATTACAGACCAGTATCACCAGTCCTTCTTCACATTTATCCTCAACCATCTAGGACATCCCCACTGGATTGGAATGTTCACCTCAGATGTAGGTGTCCTGAATCCCTTGGCACATCCTTGCAAAATTAAGTTTCACATTTACCCCCTCAATGATTTAACCATTGAATTTAACACAGAAAAAATGTTCCCAGAAATAAAAGTAAATATGATTTAAATAATTTATACAATAACTACTGACTTACCTTATAAGCAGCTTATGACTACAAAATAAGAGTGTACACCTTTTGTTTTGTTTTGTTGAGGTAAACACCTACTTGACTAAAGTCTGAATATATAATGTCCTTTAAAGGTTCTCTGAGAATCTCTGAGTTTCCCGGGATACTGCCTCGTGTGTGCATTGGAACACATCTTAAATGAAAATAACCACATTTGGATGATTTGTCACATTTAAGACATCCCCCAAAAAAGTGAATCATGCTTCCTACCAAGAAATGTGGTTATTAATTAATTCAGCACCCTTTGAAATTTAATATTTAGAGACTTTTTTCCCTCTAGGGATGTGCTTGGGAAAGTAAGATTTCATTTTTAGTGAAACATAAAGTCTATTCTAAACCAATACCTAGTTTTATTATACAAAGTTAATCACTGTAAATAACTTTCCTCTGTATTACCTAGAAATTTTCTACATAGGCACATGTAAAGAATGAGTATTGTTGTTGTTGTTATGACTATTATATATTATTTTTAAACACAAATGGGATCATACTGCATATACTGTCCTGAAACTTGCTTTTTTATTTAAAATACCTTTTACAGCTTTCCATATCAGCACATGAAAATCTAACTCATTCCTTGTAACAAGCACATGTAAGGATATACCAAAATTTGTTAAACCATTCCCCCTGTAAATGGGCGTTGAGCTCTCCCCAACTTTTCACAATTACAGACAATGCAAAACAAATTATTTTGTGCAAATAGGATAATTTCCAAAAGTAAATTTCTGAATGTACTTTAAATTTTAACTAGTACCAAATTGCCTTCTAAAAGTTTATACTTTTTTTTTTCTTTTGCCAATAACAATATCTGGTGTTCCCTCATCTTTGCCAACCCTGATTATTAAAATGTTAATTTTTGCCTGTGGCACAGGCAAAAGTGGCATTTCATGGTTATTTTAACATGTGTTCTTTTATTTTAAAGATGACTGAGTACCTTTATATGCTATTGAACATTTTTCATTTTTTCTGTGAATCTGGTGCTTGAGTTCTTTGCCCATTTTCTGTTTGTGTTTGTGTGTGTCTTTTTCCTATTGATCTAGGAGAGTTCTTTAAGTAAATTAGTCAATAGAACTATTTTACTCAGTTTGCTTTTTTCCTTTATTTATTGTATTTTATATTACAGAATGTTTTAACTTTATGTAGCCAATTTTACTTTATGGCCTCTGGCTTTTGTGTCAGATTTGAAAAGACTTTCCCAACACCAAGAGTATAAAAAACTTAGCCAAGTTTTAACACTTTATGTTTTCAATTTTACATTTAAATCTTTGATCAATCTGAAATTTACTTTGGTGTAAAGGACATTGATTGAACTTTACTCTTATTGCTTACTGGGAAAATATGGTGGCAGAAGACCAAGAATTCCACAAAATTTAAAAAGATATGATTTGTGGCAGATAATTCTTTTTGTCACGCCATATCCACAAGTTGTCTTTAAACGATACGTGGAAATACAAATCTATGTGTGAGGTTTGGGATATTCAGGCAACGCTGGGTAATAGTGCCAGTAGTCTTGAAAAGGAAATGATGGCTGAATTTCCCTCCACAGAATGGGCTTAATTTTGACTGGTCTGATGGCACCAAGTCCTCTTTCACTTATTGGAAAGACGAGGAGTCATCCTCCTTTGGTGACTGTGTTTTTGCCGACACCAGTGGACACTGGAGCAGCACAGCCTGCGAGTCATTTCTGCAAGGAGCCATTTGTCATGTGCCCACTGGTGGGTTCAGTTCCATTCAACTCTAGATATACTTACTGTGTACCTACTGTGTTTAAGACACTGTGCTAAGCAGATGATACGAAGATGAGTAGTAAGAAGAGGCTTATGATCCTGTCGGTGATATTAAGAAAAGTAGCTGTTATAGCAGATAGGGTTACCAAGTGATGTAAGAGAGGTAGCAAGTGTTGTGGGAGTTAAAGAAAAAAATAAACTCATCATATGCATTTTGAGAATGTGGAAAGTGTTTTTGAAAGACGTGATGGTGGAGATGGGCCTTGAAGAATGGGTGGGATGGAAGTAAGTTATGATGGACATAGAGAGGCATTCTGAGCAGAAAAGTCTGGGCAGAGGCATGGAAGAAAGAAAGAACTGGGCACATTTCAGACAAAGCTAGTGCTGCGATTTATTGGCATCACTGGGTGAGAGAGGTGGAAAATGAGTCTAGAAAGAGGGCTTGGGAGCATGTGTGGCCTTGAATACCATACTAAGGATTATGCCTAAATTAAAGACTATTAAGATTCTAGAGCTCAAATAATACTTATACTGTTTGGATATTTACTATGTGCCAGGCCTTGCCTTTTGCATAACTTACTAATTTACATTAAAAAATCCACCTTACTCAACTCCTTTGTTTTAAAGATGAAACTTCGCCTCAAAATGTTAAATAGCGTACTAAGGATCTCACAGTTGTCCAACAGCAGTATCAGGATTAGAAGCCACCTCTCTTCACTCGACGATACTTTGTTTATCCCATTACACCAAGTCACCTCTCCCTTGATTGAAAAAAAAAAAAAACAACTCACTGCCATTGAGTCCATTCTGACTCATAGCGACCCTCTTTGGGTTTCCAAGGTGGTAAATTTTTATGGAAGTAATCTTCCTTCCGTGGAGTGGCTGGTGGGTTTGAGCTGCTAACCTAAGGTTAGGCATGTGACTGCTAACCAGAAGCCTGGCAGTTCAAACCCACCAGTCACTCCTCGGAAGGAAGGTTGGGCAATCTACTTCTGTAGTGATACTGCCTCAGAAACCCAAGAAGGGGTCGCTAGGAGTTGGATGCAACTCCGCGGCAGTGAGTTGAGTTTGGTTTGGTTTAACATAAGCTGGTCTTCTTTGAAGTCTTGTATTTAGTAATTTAGAGGCATGTACTAACTTCTGTGTATTATAAATCAAATAGTATGCATATTATGTAACTTTTGACCAAAACAATGAATGATAAAAATGTAAATGATAGCCATATGTATTAGAAAAGCTGGTTCTGCTTTCAAAACAACATAAAATGGTCCTTCTCTTTTTAATAACAATGTATTTATTTAATGAATATCAGGCACTAATTCATTTAGACTGTGTAACAATTTGTAAGAAAAATATTGCTGTTGGCTCCTTTTCATAGATGTTGTTGTACACCATCAAGTCAATTCTGATTCATAGCGACCCTATGTGACAGAGTTGAATTGTCCCATAGCATTTCATAGGCTGAAATCTTTACAAGAGCAAATCACCAGGTCTTTTCTCCCGAGGAACAACTGGTGAGTTCAAACCTCTGACCTTTCAGTTAGCAGCTGAGCACTTAACCATTGCAGAGAGTCCAGTGTATAGGGAGGTGAGTAACACGCCCACAGCCAGGCAGCTAGTAAGCGGCAGAGCCAGTGTCTCAAAGTGGATGTGTCTGGCTTAAGCTTGCTCTCTGAGGTAAATCCCTGTCCTAAAAAAAGTTTCCCTTATTTTTGTTACGTTACATTGTGCTATGTTTATTAAATGCATTCTTTCTCATAAGTTTGTTATCAGATAAGGATATTTTAAAACTATGATACTTACTCAGCACTGCATAGAACACATTTGGTACATTTGGAAGTCCTTTTGGTCAGCATCATGCAGCTGCCAGTATTTCAGTGAATCACGTATCACCCTGATTGTTTCATCCTCTGGGATAAGAATTGGAAACATGAAAGACAGCCACCCTCACCCAGGCAGCACCCAAACTAAGCCTAGGAAGCTGTGCATTAATGTGCTCTGTTATCGATAGGCAAAGATTATTTCTGCCAGAAATGCTACAAAAACTGGTCTTGGTTTATAATCATTTACATTAAACCAAATCTTTCTGAGTATTATCACAAAAATCTCATTATATATATTTATCTTGGTCTGTCAGAGAATGTAATGCAATGTTTATCTCAGTAAATGAACACAGCCACCACCCTGAAATCATAACTGATTTTTGTTCATAGAGACAAGACCATTTGAGCACCCAGAGTTGTGCTTAGAAACATCTATTCCTTGGATAAAATTTAAAAGTAATTGCTACAGTTTTTCTACCATCCTAGACAGTATGAGTTTTGAGGCTGCTCATGAATACTGCAAAAAGGAAGGTAATTCTTTTGTGATGGTAAAGTTCTTTCCGTGTGCTCTGTCTTGACATTTCTGTAAAGAATGTGGTTTTCCTCATTTGATTATTTAGCAACTTTAGAAGCAACAAAACCATTGAAAAAATAAATTAATTTGCTTGTTTGGGGACAACTAATACCAGAAACTCATGGTCCAGTGCAGAATTTGAAAACCTAAAATGATGTCTCAGAAGACTGCACTTCCCCAAGAATATATTCCTTTTAAATGCATTTGAATTATGAATTTTTTAATGTTCCCTAAAATTAATTCTGTACTTTTAACCTCTAAGGTGCAAGCTTATATCTTTCAATAAATGTGGTTTTGCTTAAAATTTTTAATTAAAAAAATATATATATACTTATATACTATGGGAAGTTTCAGGCCGTAGATTTTATAGAGTTGGGTAGATTTTATAGACTATGGTATGAGGAGACTTTTTTTAAAAATTGTGGATATGTGTAAACATAAACATTTGCTATTTGTATTTGTCTCTTTTATAGGATCTAATCTTTTAACAATCAAGGATGAGGCTGAAAATACTTTTCTCTTAGAAGAGCTTTTAGCTTTTGGTTCTTCTGTCCAGATGGTTTGGTTGAATGCTCAATTTGATAGTAACAGTAAGTAGTGGGTAGAGAAGACGAGAGCATGAAATAAATACACAGTTGTTAAGGCTGCTGATAATGGCATTTGTGAACCAGAAAACTCTCCTTAGATTCAGTAGTTGCTATGAAAAAAAAAAGAAACATGATTCCTAGAGCCCTTTCCTCCAATGATACTTTGCTAACCCTCTTCTATACTGCTAGGCCCTTTGAAATAATCTCCACATCTCAAATATAAAAACAAACAAAATAACAACATTAGATTTATCTTATACTTACTCTCATGTTGTGAAGATGCTTAGCTAGGACTTTATGTTCACAGACTTCACTCATCATACCCCAGGTTCCTAAATAGCATAAAAGCACAATAGAGTTAAAGAAATGGTTCAGGGATAAATAGTACTATTCAATTAGTATTTGCTAATCATATAAACCAGAATTTGTAATGAAATTAGATTATGATGTTTCCTTTACTTAATTCATGCTTATGGGAAAATACTGGTAAAGAAAATTATTATAATTGATATGGAAAGCTTATGACAGTGGTGTACCAAGATGGGAGGAATATTTGATTGCTAGTAAGGAGAAGTATTTGATCACTGACATTGTTTAGAATTGTCAGGACACAGCAATAATAAAAAGCTGTTGTTGCTGTTAGTTGACCCCATATGTTACAGAGTAGAACTGCTCTATAGGCAGTTTAAAGAAAGCAGATTGCCAGGGCTTTTCTTCCATGGTACAGCTGGGTGTTTCCAAGTGCCAAGCTGTCAGCAAACCATTTTTACCACCTAGAGACCTAAAAAGCAGACTCACTTTTAGTAAGTTTTACTGTTGATTTAAAATTCTTTCAGAAAATGTACCTCCTTATGCCTTCACATGGGAGCTCTGGTAGCATAGTGCCTAAGGCATTTGAGTGCTAACCAGAAGGCTGGTGGTTGAAACCCACCAGCCACTCCCAGGAAGGAAAGTTGGGCAATCTACTTCCATAGAGATACCTCCTCGGAAACCCAAGGAGGGGTCATTATGAGTCATATCTGACTCAACAGCAGTGAATTTAGTTTTTTATTTATTGCCTTCGCATGGGATGGACTTCTCCCATCCCTCCACTCCATGGACATTACTGGCTTTCCATTTAAAGAAACATACTATGAAATTCTTTTAGGAAACAAGCCATTTTGCAATGATATACATGTTAGGACTTCTAAGGACTTTTCCTTAAATTGATTTGTTTATTCAATTATTTCTTTAAATTAACTATAATAATATATTTTAAAATTCAAACCATTATAGTAAGAAACGGGTGAACTAAATGAGAATATATCTTGAACAGATAGGAGCTTGTTCACAAAGCAAGTTTATTAATATCTAACCAAAACCCAAACCCAACTCACTGCCATAGAGTTGAATCCAACTCATAGCAACCCCTCCTTGGGTTTCCAAGGCAGTATCTCTACAGAAGTAGATTGCGCAGTCTTCCTTCTGAGGAGTGGCTGGTGGGTTTGAACTGCAGCCCTCTGGTTAGCAGTCACATGCCTTAGTCACTATGCCACCGGAGCTCTCTATTAATATCTACCCTTTGTAAATAAGAAGAGAGTCTCATTAAATCTGGGTACTGCTTTTTATGGTTCATTCAAGTCCTGGTATAATTCATAATAAGTCAGTAATTTTCCCACAGATGAAACCATAAAGTGGTTTGATGGAACTCCCACAGACCAGTCAAATTGGGGTGTTCGGGAGCCAGAGACAGACCTCTTCAAACCCCATTTGTGTGTTGCCTTGAGGATCCCTGAAGGACTGTGGCAGTTATCCCCGTGTCAAGAAAAAAAAGGATTTATATGTAAAATGGAGGCAGGTGAGTCTAGTTAGAGCATAATTCTTCATTCTGATTCTACCCTAATAGTGTCTACCTCTTTAGCATTTAAAGGTTTTCAAATCCAAATATTCAGGGAATTTTCAGACAGATTCTGACATTATCATCTTGTTTTATATCAAGCAAATTGGAGATCACTACAGTTTCTCCTTTCTCTAATATGAAGAGAAAAAGCAACTAACAAGCAGATAAAGCAACTCAAAGACTATATGGCTTTAATATGTCACTGTAGCTGTTACTTAATGGGCAAAAGCAGTTTATCTCAAGCAAATAGAGCTAGAAATGTAAACCAGAAATTCTGATGACTGATACTCAGAATTTTTAAGATTCATCTTTGGTTCCAGGAAATATAGGCTAAGCCTGGGTATCTTTGTTGAGAACAAGAGGGTGGAATTCTCAGTTGCAAGCCATACTATATTATAAAAGTCAGATTTTAACTTCATCTTGAGCTAAATAGTTTGTAGTGACAAAAAGAAAAATCATTTTTGAAATCTAAACCAGAAAAAAAATTTCTAGTTAGTGACAAACAGTGGCAGAACTATCTAAGCGAGGATGTTAAAATGAGCATCATTGACAGAGAATGATATTTATAATATTCACAACCGTTTCCGGATGCCAGTATCGTACGGAAGGGGCATTGATATGGCCTGCAGTGTTGGAGAAGGCTCCAGAGAGGAAGTGAGACTTTGGAATCTCAAAGGATGGAATTTGAGGAGCTGCAACAGAGGAAGAAGGGCATTTTGGACAAAAGGTCCAACATCACTGAAGATTAAAGCAGAAGGTTCACACTAAGGAGGTGATGGGAATAAAATTGGACACTAATATAGGATCTGACCACAGAGTCTTCAGTGCCATGCTGAGGTAGAGGAAAAAGAGAACTCCTATGTGCTCTGGCTGTAGACACTCATCCAGATGTAAAGGAAAGAGGTTGTAACTTGAATGATAGAAATAAAAAAGAATGGGAGAATTAGGAGTGACATTCTGAAGAGAATCAACAAGTTTTGAGGACAATTAGATACTGTCTAATAAAGGAGAAAAAATTGGTAGATGTGAGCACCAGTGTATGAAGCCCAGTCCCGTAGGATCAACTCTATGTGGAATACATGACTAAGTCTTATTAAATAGGCTGCCCAAGCAATCCACTGACATTTAAGCATCAAGAACAAATCAGAAATACCCCATACAATACTTTAAAGCTTCCCATAATACCTATATAACCTCAATTACAACCTTCACAGCAGCTTCCCAAAGTTGTGGAGCAGATAAAATATTGACATTTTACAGATGAGCAAAGTCCCTATGCAAACGGAGGCCACACAGGACTGCCGCCAAATTGTCTACCTCTAAGTGTTCCTTCCACACCTGCCACCTGCTCACTGCTTCATTCTGAGAGTAAATGCTCTTTGAACAGTCCTTCTTAAAGACATCAGAGACAACCATGATTTCAATCATTTTTATGTAAAATTACCCAACATTGTGTTTTAAATTGTGAAAGCAACCTTTTGGGGAGCAGGGGGGATGTAGTCATGCCATTGCTGTTTCTTTTGAGTTTACATAAGAGTGAATGAGCATATGGAGTACACCAAGGTACTTCCTCCACTCTCAGACCCGTTCACTCATCCACTGGATCATTTGCCACAACTTTTTGTGGATCTTAACCTTGATCAAAAGAATAAAATAAAATAACATATTAACATAGAGTCAATTCCAATTCATAGTGACTTCATGTGTCTCAGAGTAGAAGTGAGCTCCATAGGGTTTTCAATGGCTATAATTATTTTTTTTAACAACTCGAAGTTCATGAACATCTTCTCCTACACTTTCCTCTAGAAGTTCTATAGACATAGCTTTTAAATTTAAGTCTATGATCCAACACAAATGAATTTTTGTGTCTGGTGTGAGTGATGCAGTGAGTCAAGATTTTTTTTTTTTTTTTTTTTCCATTAGGATATTGTGTTATTCCAGAACAATTTTTTCTGTCTCATTCTTTTGGAAACTTTGTGAAAATTTACACCACTATATTAAAGTGGGTCTATTTCTGGACTCTGATCCATTCCTTGACCATTACAACACTTTCTTCATTACTTGTAGCTTTGTAGCAAATTTTCAAATTTTGGTGTTTTTTTCAAAGATTAATTTTTGTATCCACAAAGCCTATATCTAACATTATACTTACAATGACTGTAATCTTACAGAAGCAATTCACCAGTGCTTTTTTTCAAGGCCCCTCTGAGTAGACTCGAACCACCAGCCATTCAGTTAGTAGTCATGCAACAAACAACCCTCGTGGCATAGTGCCTATGGCATTAGACTTCTAACTAGAAGGATGGCGGTTCAAACCCACCAGCTGCTCCATGAAAGGAAGACTGGGCAATCTACTTCTGTAAAGATTTACCACCTCAGAAACCCAAAGCGAGTTGCCATGAGTCTGAGTTGACTCGATGGCAGTGGGTTTGGTTTGGGTTTAGGGACCGAAGCAGTTTGCAAATGTTGAAGTAGATTCTATTTAAAAGAGATACAGTTTTACAGTAGAAAGTCTTAAAACAGGAACCTCTAACTTTTTGTATGGGAAAACTATTATTTATTTCCCAAGGTTCTTGAGATCACAATGGTGTGAAGATGCATATCAACAGGGAGTCATCATTGCTGGACACATTCCATATTAGATCCCAACAAAACTGAGTTCTTGGGGGCAGGCACTATATTTTATTCATTTATATTCTTGGCACAGTGCTAACTGATGAGAGTTCTTTGGCTTCACCAAAAATCAGTGTTTTATATGTGTGGGTGCTAATGATGATCGCTACAAATCAAGGGTCGGCAAACTTTCTTGTAAAAGGCTAAATAGGAAATATTTTAGGCTTTAGGTTTGGATGGTCTCTGTCATAACTACTCAGCTGTGACTTTATAGCACAAAAGCAGCCCTAGACAATACATAAATGAATGTGTGGCCGTGTTCCGATAAAACATTATTTATGAAGACAGGCAGCAGATTTGGTCTGCAGGCCATAGTTTGCTGATCCCTGCTATAAATGATGACATAATTTTGCTAAGTTTAAAGAAAAAATTCATGTCAGTATTTTTTGTGCTTTATTTTAGACATTCACACTCTAATAGAACATCCAGGAGAAGGTATGTTTGGAACAGTTGAGAACATTTTGATTTTTCTTAGTGATAATAAAATAAAAAGTAACTATATGGGGAGGGGAGGGAAGGCTGTTAGATTGATAGAGATAAGTATTGATTTGGGTGAAGAGAAGGGCAATGTACCAAATGTGAGTGACCAATATGGCACCATTGAGGATGAGAAAGACATAGAGAGGTACATGGGAGGTACAGACAACAAATATGAACCCATTTGCACATACAGTACTGCATTGTCAGTGAAGGCAAACATGTTTATATGGATGGATAGATGGGTGGACAGGCTAAACAATTAGGTATGTCTATGAAATGGGGAGTATATCCAAGAACATATATGGGGTTGGCAGACAATCGTCCTATAAATTTATGTGAATGATCAGAATTCCCAGGTGTATAGTAGAGCTGACAAGGGGCAAAGTTGTGGTCACTGCTTAGTCACAGCCAGCTACCCAGAGGGACCGAGTAGTTGAACCTGCAGGCTTGGGACCATAGTCACAGGGGACATCAAGCTCAATTGGCATAACATACTATACAAAGCACTGTTCCACCTCCTACTTTGGCGAGTAGCCACTGGGATCTTAAAAGCTAGCAAGCTGCCATCTAGATGCAACGATGCTTCTCTCCTCGTCCAGAGCAAAGAAGAATGAAGAAAACCAAAATTCATGGAAACAATTAGTCCTAGTGACTGGTACACCATCTGATATGCAGCCTATACAACTATGAGACCAGAAGAACTAGATGGTGCCCGGCTACCACTGTCAACCACTTGGAAGGGGATCTATGTAGGAGATCCTTGCTAGAGAGGGAGAACAATGTGAAACAAAAATCAAAATCATTTGGAGAAAAAAAAAAAGTGGGGACCAGGTTTGCTGGTCCGATAGAGCCTGGTGGAACCCCTGAGACTATGTCCCCCAGCTGCCCTTCAGGTCTGGAATTGAACCCACACCAGTGGTTTCCAGCCAAACAAAAGACAGGCATATGAGTTGAACATTTACCTCAAGTAGATACACGCCTTGGAGAGAACAATCATGGGAGAAAGAAGAGCTGCTTATGCACAGGGAGACAGCCTGGGGGCAGGAGTGTATGGAGGGATGGTCACTGGGAAGAGGTAACTATGGGGAGGAAGTGGGAGGGGAGCTGTTGCATTGTGGTAAACTGTGGTCAGTGACATGAGACAAAGTATATGTGAACTGCTGTATGGAAAGTGAATTTGCTCTATGAATCTTCACACAAATCACAATTAAAAAAAAAGTAACTGTATGACAGTCAAAGAGTTCTGGTGGTACAGTGGACAAAGCATTCATCTGCTAACCAAAGGTCGGTGGTTCAAACCCACCAGCTACTCCACTGGAGAAAGATGAGGCAGTGTGCTTCTGTAAAGATTTACAGCCTTGGAAACCCAGTGGGGCAGTTCTACTTTGTCCTATAGGGTCACTATGAGTCAGAATCAACTCGATGGCAGTGGGTTTGGTTTGGTATATGACAATCACTATCTGTCTTATTTCATTATCATTGAAGTTTTCCTCTTTCTCATCTTCTTTCAGAACCAAGTCACAGCATTGTACCTCTTGCCGTAACACTGACACTGATAGTAATTCTGGCAATTTCCACACTTTCCTTCTGCATATACAAGCAGAATAGTGGTTTCTTCAGGAGGCTTGGAGAATTTAGAAATCCTTACTATCCTACAAGCAACTTTAGTACAATGCATTTAGAAGATATCCTCATTTCTGATCTTGAAAAGAATGATCAACAGTAGTGAAGTCAGAGAATTTTAAAGCTGCAAGAGGATACAGTAAAGAAGACTGTCAGGGGAATCTTCCCACATTGCTCTGTACAGACCAAATGCCATTATAGTGTGAATTGTGTCGCTAGTTTAATTATTCTTAAAGTTATTACTTTAAATGTGACCAAATTTTAAGTGGGTTTTGATATACTTATTTCCACAAACTGCAATCTCTTCTTAAAAAGGAAAGTACACAATGGTTATTATTCAGAAAGACAAGAACTAAAAAGAAACTCCCTGTTACAAAACTCTCAAAGCAATGTGAATAATAGTTTGGGTACTAATATGTTGCTACAGAAATTTGTTTGGAAAATGTTTAACTAATGTTGTAACTATTCAGACATTTACTTACATCCATACCATTGAAAGAGAAGAGAGAAAAAAAAAAGTAAACAAATTTTAAAGACCTACACTTGTATGTGAGAGGAAAAGGATACTATCCGAAGGTTTCTTTGTTGTTTTTACTTCATTCGTTTAATTCAATCATCATTAATTGCAGGGTTTGGAATATACTTATTTTTAAATTTAAAACTCTTAAGTTCTGGGCTCTAAATTAATATTTAGGATGATATTTATTTTTATTAGGTCTGATTTCTCAAGCTCAAGGAGAAGAAAAACTACTTTTCTTTAAATAGTAAAGATCTTGGTTAGCAGAACACTTTCATAAGCAACCTTTTGAGCTAATTAAAATGTGGCCTGAAATCTTCATATTGCCTTTTTCTCACTAATTTGTTTTTAAATGAGGTTATTTCTTTAAAACCTAAAATAATTTATACAAATTACAACCTAAGTTAAAATACAAGGTAGTTGAAAACAAAACTTTCTTTTTGATGAAATAAAAAATACCTTATATAAACACTTTATAATATTATTGATGCAATTTTAAATTCTTTCTGCCTGTTCAACAAAGCTAAATCATTACTGAGTGTTTCAATGATTTAGGTTTGATCTTTTAATATGTTGTAGATAAGCTTAAAAGAAGTTATTGAGATTTTAATACTGTTAAAATTCATGGTCTTTATTACAGACTAAAGTCTAGAAAATAATATATAATACTTCTGAAAACTAAAAGAGATAAAATGTAACTTGAATTTTAAGGAGGAAACTGAAGGTCTGAATTACAGTCTTATTAGAGCCAGAGGAGTAGAGTGATCTAGATACCTTTGCTATCTCATGAATTTCTTTTGGGTGCTCTATGTAGTAAACAAGGTCCCTAGATGGCACAAATGGTTTGCATTCAAGTACTAACTGAAAGGTTGGCAGTTCAAACACACCTAGAGGTGCCATGGAAGAAAAGCCTGGTGATCTGCCTTCATAAAGATTACAGCCAAGAAAATCCCATGGAGCTGAGTTCTACTCTGTAACACATGGGGTCACCATAAATTGTAATTGCCAGGACAGCAACAGGGTTTTCTATCATCAACTATGCTTTCTGGGAACAATCTCCTTTTTTGTGTTAGGCCAGTTAGTGTAGCTGGTAAAGCATGATTATAAGCATGACACTATTCTGTGTAAGGAGTCCCTGGATGATGCAGATGGTTGAAGCACTCAACTGTGAACCAAAAGGTTGGAGGTTCTAGTCCACCCAGAGGCACCTTGGAAGAAAGGCCTAGCAATCTACTTCTGAAAAGTCAGCCATTGAAAACCCTGGGGAGCACAGATCTACTGTCATATACATGATGTCAAAATCAACTCAAAGCAACAGGTTTGTTTTTTTATCCTGGATAAATTAAAAATTGCACATTTGATCTTTCTTCATTAATTTCTGATAGAAAAAAAAATGGTTTCACAATCAATGTTCAAAACTTTATGTTTAATGAGTGTCTATTAAAAGCCAGGGGCAATTAATTCTAGGAACTGGGGGTACTGGAGTGAGCACAGCAGTGAAGTCTCTGTTTCACAGCATTTATATCCTAGTAAGGGGAAACTAACAGTAAACCAGTGAGGAATTGCATAAGAAGAAAGTAGTAGGGGTTATGAAAATTAAGTAAGGACCGATGATAGAGGGAAACTGAGGAGTCTCATAGCCACCCTGAGAATATACATTTTAATTATTCAACAAACTGCCTCAAAACTGGAGGCCACCAGTCACAAGGGGGAGCTCCGGGAGAAGTATGAATGAAGTTCTAAGGAGAAAATCATCACCGTTAGAAATACAATTTGAAGAGCACGTCCTGAAAATAAAATCTTTGTGGCCTAAAACAGTTAAGACAGCTTCCAAAAATAGCTCATTGCTACTGCTGCATCATTTACACGCTGGGGCAATCTACTTCCATAAATTTTTTTATGTCTTCAGACTTCATTTTTTAAAAGATATTATAATAGGTGGCAGTTGTTTATTTATCATTCAAAGGAATAATTGGCTTAAACTAACCAGGTAGTATAAAAGCCCAATTTAACAATCTGTCAAGTGAAATTATAGTTCTGTTCTTTTCCATTGACTAGTAAAAACTGCTAATCAATTATCTTCCAGTCAAGGTATATTGAAGTGGACTAGTCACAAATAACAATCTGACAAAGTATTCCATTAGGAAAGTGGTTTTGCAGAAAGAAACTGTATTACATGTCAGTGTTTCTCACTTTGATATTTTTCTCACTTTGATATTTGCTATTGACCCACATCCCCAGGGACTGTTTTCATGGACAGGTCATGTGCTCCTTCTCATTTTTGAAATTTGAGAAAAAAGAAAGTACTGAAATATTCTTCTTTCTTTATATATGTACTTTTAAAAACTCTCTTCCACATCTGTTTTGCGTCTGAACTAGATTTCATAGCTACAACATGGAAAGAAAAAAACTCATACATCACTAATATGCCTACCCCCGCCCCCCCAAAAGAGTCAGTTATTTTCTATGGCTAATCTTATGGTCTTTATGAACCCTAGAAGTGAAAAATCTTGGATGTTCCAAGATATTTCGGCTCTGCTAGTTCCAGTAGTCTCCATTCAGTAAATGTTTCTCCTCTTAAAAGTTCTGCTCTTGAAATACCATTTGACCCAGCCATTCCATTACTAGGCATATATCCTAAAGAAGTGAGAGCCATGACAAGGACAGATATATGCACGCCCATGTTCATCACAGCACTATTTACAATAGCCTAAAGATGAAAACAACCTAGGTGTCCATCATCTAAGGAATGGATAACCAAATTATGGTACATACACACAATGGAATACTATGCAATGCTAAAGAATAATGTAGAATCTGCAAAACACTGCATAATGTGGATGAACTTGGAGGACATTATGCTGAGTGAAATAAGTCAATCACAAAAGGACAAATATTGTATTAGTCCGTTATTGTAAAAGTTAAGGAAAGGTTTATCTACAGAAGGAAATTTTCTTTGTTGGTTACCAGGGGTGGGAGGGGAGAGGAGGGAACGCTGTTAGATAGCTAGAGGTAAGTATTGATTTGGGTGAAGAGAAGGGCAATGTACCAAATGTGAGTGGCCAATATGGCAGCGTTGAGGATGAGAAAGACATAGAGAGGTACATGGGAGGTACAGACCACAAATATGAACCCTTTTGTACATATAGTACTGCGTTGTCAGTGAAGGCTAACATGGATAGATGGATGGACAGGCTGAATGATTAGGTATGTCTATGAAATGGGGAGTGGATCCAAGAACATATATAGGGTTGGCAATGAGCCTATGAGTTTATGTGAATGATCAGAATTCTCAGGTGTATAATAGAGCTGACAAGGGGCAAGGTTGTGGTCATGGCTTGGTCACAGCCAGCTACCCAGAGGGACCGAGTAGTTGAACCTGCGGGCTTGAGACCATAGTCACAGGGGACATTAAGCTCTATTGGTATAACATACTATACAAAACATTGTTCCACCTCCTACTTTGGCAAGTAGCAACTGGGATCTTAAAAGCTAGCAAGCTGCCATCTAGATGCAACAATGGGTCTCTCCTCATCCAGAGCAAAGAAGAATGAAGAAAACCAAAATTCAGGTAAACAATTAGTCTTAGCGACTGGTACACCATCCAAACTGCAGCCTATACGACTTTGAGACCAGAAGAACTAGATGGTGCATGGCTACCACTTGGAAGGGGATCTATGTAGGAGCTCCTTGATAGAGAGGGAGAACAATGTGGAACAAAACTCAAAATCATTTGGAGAAAAAAAAAAAAAAAAAAGGTGGGGACCAGGTTTGCTGGTCCGATAGAGCCTGGTGGAACCACTGACATGATGGCCCCTAGCTGCCCTTCAGGTCTGGAATTGACCCCACACCTGTGGTTTCCAGCCAACCAAAAGACAGGCATATGAGTTGAACATTTACTTCAAGTAGATGCACTCCTTGGAGAGAACAATCATGGGAGAAAGAAGGGCTGCTTATGCAGAGAGAGACAGCTCATGGGGCAGGAGTGTTTGGAGGGGTGGACACTGGGAAGAGGTAACTATGGGAAGGAAGTGGGAGGGGAGCTGTTGCATTGTGGTAAACTGTGATCAATGTCATGAGACAAAGTATATGTGAACCACTGTAAGGAAAGTGAATTTGCTCTGTAAACCTTCACCCAAATCACAATTAAGAAAAAAAAAAAAGAATTTTTTAAAAAATAAATAAATAAAGTTCTGCTCTTTCTCAAGGGTAGATGAAATGGTCGGTTTGGGAGTTTCCTTTCCCTCCTCAAAATGTCAGTTGGATGTATGAGAACTTGCGGTGTCCTGTGGTACAGGGAAAAGATGATAACTGGCCTCAAAACAGTCTTAGATTTGTGATTCTTGGTGTCAGCTGAGGTGGTTGTCTTACCCCACTCAAAGTCAGCTGGCATCTGCTGCTGAAGCATGTGGTTGGTGTAGCTTGTGGTCTGTTCCCTTTGACTGGGTCCCATCCTGCTCTCCCTGGCACAGCCTCATCCCAAGAGGACTGGCTGTGACTCCCATTCAGTTCCCTGCTGGGCACATTAGCTCTTGCCTTTGAGTCCTCTTCACTGTAGTTCTTGCCCTGTGAGACCACTGGCAAGT